CTGACGGCTATGATAAAAATAACAACGTGAACATCAACTCACATTTTTGCAAGCAATTTCAGATTTGAGAAGGCGTCCTCCGGTATAGATTTCAAACGGTTGTTTGAAAGATCCCTAGACAACGAAATTTTTTAAAGAATGTAACTTCGGTAGAGAATTGTGAGGAAATAATTATTTACACGAGTATCTGATTGTAAGTATTGGTCACAGGAATAAAAATACTACATGGGGAAGTACTGGGTAAGATTTAATGCGTCAGTGCCGCAAAATTGTTGATTATGATACGATGCTTACGATGCTGGAATAGCTTAGACCAGGCCCTTGCTAGGAAGAGAAGAACAATCAGGCAAGAAAAAAACCACATCTGTAAAAGGAAGTCAGTTATATCCATTCAACACATTCTCTCTCTCCCCTCCCCCCTCCCCCCCCTCCTTCTTTCTCTCCTTCCATTTTTTCCTTATTATCATCTTAAATTGATCGAAAACTCAGCAAAGGCTATATCTGGACTATCTGAGAAAGAATAACAGCTGGTGCTATTTGTTATTCACAATCAAATCCCTTAGCTTTATGAAATCATTTGGTTAACCTCTGAAGTCATGTGATCACTTGGATATTAACAGAACTGTGTCATTATTAGCAAGTCTTCTGGGCATCCCCTGCCCATATATTTCTAAATCAGTGTGACGTCGCTTTTCTGAGATCTTCAACATGCGTAAACTGAACTAAAGAATAATGTAGTATTATCAACTGAGTTGATAACGTAAATTGGCCACCGTGAAGAGTTTAAAAGCTGACGTTTCGAGAGTGAGTCCTTTGTCATCGCTCTGACGAAGGGCTAACGCTCGAAACGTCAGCTTTCAACCTCTTCACGGTGGCCAATTTACGTTATCAACTCAGTTGATAATACTAAATTACCCTGGTATACTCTCCCACCGACGCAGCATCACAGTTTCTTTATTCATTTGAACTACAGAATGTTCTCCAAAAAGCGACGTAAAGAAGGCTTCTTTGCATTGAAGAAGAGTAATCATGCAGGACCGCCATTTTTAAGTAGGTCTATAAATCACTTTCACAGTAAGAGAATAACGTTGTACTTACAGAGACACCGTATATTCAGGCAAGTTACTGGGTACTTGTGTTATACCAGTGTACTTGATAGCAACTCGTACTCGACCAAAGGGATCGCAGGTACAATTCCCTGGGTGAACATCCTTCAAACAACTGAATCCTGAGGCTACGCACGATGACAAAATTGCCATCAGCGTAAGACGTGTCCATAATTGAACTGAAGATTCCTTGTACATCTGCAGAATGACGTTGACGTCATGTTTAATTTCTTTACTAAAAAATTGTAAATCATCTGTTCATTCTGATGTTCCAAATTGGCGAAATGATTGAGCTCTGTAAATCATCAGCAGGTTCTAATTCTCCAGCAATAAAAGACGGAGAAATGCCTCTTGTTTGAAAATAATACTTCCAACAATGTGCTTTTGGAGCTAAAGTAGGCTAAGTTAGTTTACGTTGCAGTTTATCAGTACCTTCTGCGAAAATAAGTTGTGCCGCTTGGCAAACAATAACGTTTTGTTTAACCTACTTTTGTACCACTTTAGTTAACGAGGATACTTACGACATTAAAAGCATAGAAGCAAACTTGATTACTACGTAGATTAATGTCAATTCCATCGATCCCACAGAAATGCAGCACTCAGAGTTATGTAGATGATACGAAACTCATCACTTCCTTCGAACTTAAAGACAACCTGGATGCAATTGCTGATTTGGAAGACGACTTGTTTAAAATAGGAGAATGGTGTTCCAACAACCAATTGTTACTTAACCCTGGCAAAACCAAGCTGATGATATTTGGCAGCAGGCAGATGCGTGCAAAATTGCAATTTCGCTCCCTTTCCATTATGGGTGAGGACATCGTCCCCGCAGACACCGCCAAAGACCTTGGTGTGATTTTGGATTCTAATTTAACTTACGATGAACACATAATTAAGACCGCTTCCTCGTGCATGTCCCGCCTCGGCCAAATAAACCGGGTCAAGCATGTTTTCGACAAACGTACACTTTTGATGATTATTAATTCCTTAGTTTTCAGCAGGTTATTTTATTGTTCCAATGTTTGGTCAAATACCTCAAAATGTAATGTTGACAAGTTACAGGCGGTGCAGAACTTCGCATGCCGCATTGTTAGCGGTGCGCGTAAATTTGACCACGTTACACCAATTCGCAAGGAACTAAATTGGCTTTTAGTTCAAAGCCAGCTTTACTACCGGAACGCTACTATGGCCTTCAGATGCATGACTGGTCAGGCTCCAGATTACCTCTCATCAAAATTCATAAAGCGAGCCGAGGTTAGTCGACGTAGCACCAGAAATTCGCAGCTTTTGCAAATTCCATTCTTTAGAACAGCTAGCGGTCAGAGAACATTTTTCTATAGAACTGTAAACTTATGGAACTCTTTGGATAATTCCTTTAAACTGTGCAACTCCGTTAAGGTTTTTAAAAAACGTTTAAGGACCAAATTACTCAAAGAGTTGTAATTTTATATATTTGTATGCTTTTATTTTTCTTTTAGAACATTCAGATTTTAAAACATCTTTAATTGTAAATAGGATTTTTTAATTGTAATAGGATTATTTTTATAACATTGTCTTTGAAAAGCCCCCTTGGGGAAAGTCAATAAAGTATGTTATGTTATGTTATGTTAATAATGCCTCAGCCACGAAAATAATTGAACTTACATCGGAGGTCGGCCCGCCGAACAACAACTGCGCCGCCTTTGTCGGTCGCTTGAATGACTATGTTTTTGCGTTTTTTTGGACTTTTTAGTGCCGACCACTCTTCCGAAGAAAGATTGGAAAATTTGGTGTTACGACTGAATTTAAGTTTGTTGATATCGTGGCGACTTTTTTGATGAAAAAATCTAAAGATGCGTACTAGCCCTCTAGGGAAGTGCATTAAGACTTTCGAACCTGAAATGTTTCGAAAGTATCTTCGTTCGAGATGCTAGAATTATCCTCTTTTTCATGAAAAAAGGCTTTCAATTGAACGCGGCGAAGGAATTTTTTAACGTCTTGCTTAGCTGAAAATTCGTCGGTTTTTTTGGATATGGGAACAAAATTTAAGCCCTTACTGAGAACTGATTTTTATGAATCAGAAAGTGGTAAATTTTCTGGTATGGTAACTGCAGTTTTGATGTTTTCAGGCCACGAGTCGCTTGTAATTTTATGGCCGATAGGTTTTCAAGTTTTTGGGCCTTAATTGGTGCAAATGGTTAAAAGTTTAGAATTAGCACCCTGAATTTTGGCACGAATGGATTGTACTGAAACAGCTGGAGTTACGCCTTCAGTTAAGACAGCTAAGAAAGAAAAGACAAAAAGAACAAAAGCATCAGCTTCAGGGGTTTTTTCCCCTAATTGACTCTATGAAAAAGTCAATAGATTGGAAAATTTGGTGTTACGATTGAATTTAAGTTTGTTGATATCGTGGCGACTTTTTTTGATGAAAAAATCTAAAGATGCGAACTGGCCCTCTGGGGGAGTCCATTTAGACTTTCGAACCTGAAGTGTTTCGAAAGTATCTTCGTTCGAGATGTTGGAATCATCCTCTTTGTCATGAAAAAAGGCTTTCAATTGAACGCGGGAACAAAATTTAAGCCCTTACTGAGAACTGATTTTTCTGAATCGGAAAGTAGTAAATTTTTTGCTATGGTAACTGCAGTTTTGAGGTTTTCAGGCCACGAGTCGTTTGTAATTTTAGACAAAAAGAACAAAAGCATCAGCTTCAGGGGTTTTTTCTCCTAATTAATTCTATGAAAAAGTCCCGTGGGCTACATTGTACTGCATACTTTGCAACCTAGAACATAACGAAAACATAGCACGGTTTTTTCCTCATGATATTAGGAAAAAACCCTGGGTGATTTCATTTGTAACATAATATATCCTCCAATTTCGAATAATCAACAACTGTTCCTTCCTCGCATCTCGAGCGAGTTGTTACTCAGTGGGTGAGTGTGTTGTTTTCGCGTTTTCTGTAATTAATTAGTGTGCATGTAAGTTCGTTTTGGATGATCAGCGTTGCATTAATCGCACAGGGCAATCTCTTCTATCCTTGATACCCTGCGACTTTATCGTTCTAGTATTTTTCGACAGTAAGCAATCTGGAAAACGGGACTTAGCTATTGGTTAGGACGCTGGACTTGTAAATATGGTTCCTCCTGGCTCTGGATTTGTTCTCGGTCGCTTCGAGTTTAACACCAGCTGGTCTGCCTCTTGCCAGTTGGGATTTTCTAGCACTTTACCTTTATTTGAGACATAAATTGTTCATCATTTATTTACAGAGACATGCTTTCCTGGATCTTCTGAAGCAAAACTTAACACTTCAACTTAGAAGCGTAACGGTCTCCTAAACAAACATTTGCCGCATAAAGCGTGATTGATTGGCTGATTCCTTTACATCTCAACATGTAAACCGGTTCTAATTGCTTCCTCTTAACAGTGCATGTCATCAGTGACTGCCTGTCGCAATGAAACTTCATGTACTTCAAGAGCCGAAAGATAACATTTTTATAACAGTCAAATAACAGCCATTCTTTCATAACGTTAACTTAAAATCAATTTAATGACAATCACCACATGTCCATTATTTTTGGTAAAAATTCACCGTTCTTTGATTAATGCCCCATGTACATTCTTTTAAATAAAAATTTTCAATACCTGTAACGAGTACAACCTAAGACTTTCAAGCACAAATATGAGTTTTTTTTTAATCAAAGGCGCCTGCATTAAAGAAGTAATTGCTGAGACCACTTCGTTAGTTTTCACCCCCTATCTCCTTTGAAGCCGTCATATGGTGTTGCGCAGCGCTCCCTCGTGAGAGTTCTCTTCGGCGAGCATTGCATGACATCCGAGAGTGTTTAGGGTGAGCATATTTTCAAGTCTTCATGATGTATTCAAACTCTTGATCCTCTTACTCAACAGAGTCTGTGAATAATGGCTACAAACGTTTATTATCAAGCTGTGATCTTCCTCTTTTGCTGCGTGATGCTGTCCGCTGCCTTACAAGTGGAAGTAAAAAGTTTGAAATATTGCGGTAAAACATTTCTCCTTACTTAATGAATTATTAGTTATTTTTTTTGAGGGTATTCCTATTTTTTCTTGTGTAAAATATCATCAATTGATAGGGAATGATCTAGGATGTCAATTTTTTTTGTCCCTTTGAAGTCCAGGATAAGTCCAGAAAGAAACTGGGTGCTGTTTGGAGACTATAGGGGCCAGGGGATGGTTTTCTTTATGGCTGTAGAGCTGTAGATAGACCAGCATGGTGTGCATTGAATACCATCGTTGTATTCCAGGTCCTCCGGATAAAACCCTAAAGTACAAGGTTTCTCCATGGCCGGTGATGAAAGATGCTGATTCTGTCAATGTCACGGTTACGTTCACCCCTGGTAAATCGTTGTGTTACTTTTAAAAAGAGCTCACTTAATCAACCCGAGTTGGAGAATAGTTGTCAGACATTCCAGTTTGGCGGTAAAAACGTTTCAATGTCGGTGGTCAAACCTAACTTCAAATATTTTAGTGGAGAGACTGTACACGAGAGGATAAAATTCTCTTTGGCTACACCAAGAAAGTAGTCAAGATAATTGACACTCTCCTTTATAGCGTGATCCCATCGCTTATTAATCTTCTCAGTTTTAGGTTTGTCTTAAACACGAACAATTTCAAAGAGTTTCTCATCAAATCTTTTCTATATTTCTCCTTACAGCGAGAGACATTTTCTCTTTGTCTCTCTTTACCAACGTCACGAAAGATGGAAAAACCATCATCGAACGGAATAAGGAGTTGAATTGCAATCACGTGTCATACCACTGCTATTTCTCAGCAGACGGTGAGTATTCATCAGGAATACTTAATCAAGATACAATTTCCTGCCACATTATTAACGAAATTAAAAAGGTATCGCAGGAGTAGTTTACACCTATTCTGCATAAAAATATTACCTGATATTTTTCGTCACACGATTCAGGAGAAAAAAATATTCTTTTATTCGCCGAGACACTCAGTTACTCCCTTGAGGTTTTCAGCTTTGGTAAACAGCAGAACTTATTACAGAGAAGTTCGAAACTTATCAAATGTTAAATCTCACAAAGATAAGAAAAGATGAAGAAAATAAAACTTGTCCATTTTATAAACAAGAGAAAGTATCTGGCGAAATTTCTCTTTTTATCTGCACTTTCAGTTGGTTACTTTTCTTATGTATTTTACTTGCCAAAACCAAGGAATGTGTTTATGCGCGACATAACTGTTTCACCTCTCATATCCTCCTAGAGACCTACACCTTGACCAGAACAGGCCTTCACATAATCAATTTTTCCCCATCTTTAAGGTATAGTACTTAGTAGTTTTTTTCCATACATATTGGCTCCAGAGAGGAGAAACATTCCATTTACTTGTTTTTAACAAACATTGTACTGGCATTTCGATGGCTAACCCATGATGCGCTCATCGTGAAATTATTGGAGTTTAAACCATGCATCTACCACATCTTCTCTCGTTCTGCTGTTTGTTTGTTTTTATAATTTGATATATCGACAATCAATTAATTGCCTCTTTTTGAAAATAGGGGAAATTTGAAGCCACACTCATACTGTTCAATCAGGAGCAGTTCTCCGTTTTTTGCGTCCAGTCGGTAGTGGTCGTGTCATGAGCCAATCACTGCTGACTCAGTGAAATTTACTTCTTTTCAATATATGTTTTCAACATCGACATTTAGTTATTATACATTTAGTTACTATACATTCGTGTAGATTTCGTTTGGATATATTTAGAAGAGGTACAATCGTAACTCCAAGTTTAAGACGCGACGCATCTGTTGTTGTATAAACGTAGTTCTAGAAACTTTGTCGCTCAACTGTTCTTTGTTTTTGTTTTCTTTTTAATCCTTCTGTTGCTTTTTGTCAAATGCGTTGTTAAGGAATCGATTTGAATGGTTGTACAGCAGTGTACTTATTTTGTTTACATTTACTGGAAAAAAGGAATTTTTTGTGAGGCCTCTTCTCTTACCATTTTTTCTACGCATTATGACTCTCTTGGGTCACTGCATTTATGCGTGTTTTTTAATTTTTTTTAAGTTGAAGCTATTTTTCAAATTCTTTTAGTTATGCGTGGAAAACTAAGGCCCATCCGTGATATCCTTTAGATATCTTGGTGAAGTCAAAGGTTTTATAGCCTGTGGCTTGCGTTTTCAAGGGGATATCTATAACTCATATGCGTATACAAATAGAAATTGATGTGTAACTTTTGTATTTTGCTGAAATAAATTTAAGTGCTTGCGCAAACAAGAGTCAGTAGACACTGCTTAGGTATAAACCGCCTCACCTGACGGGGTACATGATGTTGAAGTCTTGCGATGTAATGTACTTTAAACCAAATATATGCCTATGTAGATGGCGTCTTGAACAAAGCATCAAATGGGCAATTAACAGACCCTGGTTTTTTCTTTCGTAAACGAACAGTACATATTCCAGAAAGGACTGGCTTTTAGGACTACTGATGGTGTCTCGTGATTGAGCGATACATTCCCCAACGTAAAAATGAATTAGAGGCATAAAACAAGAAGATTATGATAGGTGAGTGTCCTGTGGACCCGCACATTGATAGGTGAGTGTCCTGTGGATCGCTCATAACGTTTAGGCTAAGTTCCGCACCCGAAAGCTCACTTATCTGGTGTTAACTGATAGTAGGCTGAAAATGAAATGAGAATGGAACGAACAGCGTAAGAGACAGCGCAGTCGGGTCACCTGATCATAATCTAAAGAACAGTAAACACTCGGGCTGTTGGTTTCCTTTTATGGATTAATTATCTTGATATGGTGGAAGGTCTGCTATTTTGTTCGAAACAGTTATTACTTGAGTTTCTCGGAAAAAAGAAAAGAAAAAAGTTGGTCATTAACAATTGATGCATTATCCGAAGAAATACTTTACAACAATATTCTTTTGTTTTGATGTTGGAAGCTTTCTTCTACTTCTCATTTCATTGTTTTTACTTCAAACACTTTACCACCAGCAAAAAAGTCTCATAAGTTTGAGTGATTATCGCAAATATGGTCTTCCCTTCCGCTAAAAAACAACTCGCCGTCCAATTCTGACATGAAACCGTATCCCGAGTGAGGCATCAAGAACATCTACCGCTGTTAGAAACAAGCACAAGTTAGAGGCATGACACAATAGGATCTCAAAAGGGACGGATGACTAATTCGTGAGACAAACATACGAAGTTGATAGAATTAGAAAGATGATTTGGTAAATTTCTATCCCAGTTGTAATATAAAGGGAGAGGTTATTCGCTTGAGCGCGAGCGTGAGACGAAAAGAGAATATTCTACGCGGAATCGAACCTCGCTCAACTAAAAGCGAAGACGATGAGAGGCTTTGAAAAGATAAACCCATTTTTCTTCGGGAAGCTAGAGGTTTAACTGAAGCAAATACACCGTGACCAATACGCTGTTTCGATCACTGTTTTACAATTTTGAAAAATCAAATTACAATGATTATTTTTATTGATGATCACGATAGACCCTTCTAATAATACAGGTACACATGGAGGAGTTTGCATGTATATAAAAGAATCTATTATCACCAAAAGACTACAAGAGCTTGAAGATCCCGCCTTCAAAGTCCTTTGGTTCTACATTAGACCTCAAGATTACCAAGAGGCATGAAATGCGTCGTCACCGCATGTATTTACCACCCACCTAGTTCTAACGACACTGAAATCTTGGAGTACTTGTCCGATGTCATCACGCGTGCTGAAGGTCTGTTTCCTGGTTGCGGTATTATTATCGCCGGCGACTTTAACCAACTGGACACAAAACATCTTTGTCGAGATTTCCGCCTAAAAAACAACTTGTCCACCAACCAACACGCGGTGTTAACAATCTCGATCTAGTGCTAATCAACATGCATAATTTCTATGATTTAAAACCAGCCGCACTTTTACCACCCTTTGGCCTATCTGACAATAATGCTGTTGCAGTTTAGCCGAAAACTAGCGTATCCACTAATACCCCAAGCAGGAAAATAGTCATTAAAAGAGAAATCCGCCCATCATATAAAATGGAACTTGGTCGGTACCCATCCGAAATCGATTGGCACCTGATTGAATCGGAAACGTCGTGCGACGAGAAATTCTGTGTTCTGCAATTATGACTGGCTACAACATTCTCATGCCAGAGAAACGAGTGAAGATCCACCAGAATGACACTCCGTGGATCATCGGAAGAACTGAAGCACTTAATAACTTTGCGGCAGCGTGCTTTCTCCTCTGGGAACAATGTTATGTTCAAATAAGGTCAACAAAATGAGAAATCCTGCACTTAAGAAATGGGGAGACTACGTCTCGTGTTTTTCCCTACGTGCACGCTTCCTGCGTGCTTTACAACTGAACAGAGCACAGTCAAGGCTTCTCTATTTGTTAATTCAGGATCGCTCGGGTTTTGCTATAAAACTCAGATTAAAAATTATGATTAATTAACCTTGACTTAATGTATATCAACAAAGAAAAGAAGTTAGTCATCGTTACTGTGAATTTGCAGTTTTTATCAAAATTTTAAAACATTACATATCAGTCATTTTTTGCTGCCTCAAGGTCATTTACATATAGGGTGCTCAAGTGTATCATCATCAGTTTGGTCTACTTTATCAGATGCAGTAAAATCCAGCTGTAATGTGCTGTGCTGTCTTGTTCTATAACTGATGTATCATGTTTGAGCTTTCAGTAATGATTTGTCATATTCGGTATCTTTTAGTCTGGTTTGGTGTGAGTCTGAATCCAGGCCATGTAATTGACCTTAGAATAAGCTTTGTGAGACTCTTTAACGTTGAGTTACAGTGAATTGTTGCACCGGCTTGATGCTACTCTGGCTTAAAGATTTAATGAGTGTAACCAGGAAGTTACAATTTATAGACCCAACGTTTCGACACTCCTGTCTAGTGCCTTCATCAGGGGTGATCTAAACGCTGCAACAAGACGTTCTTTTTTATGCTCACTATTTAGCTGCCTTTTTTCTGACCAGGTGTAAATAGGCGACAGGAAGTAAGCCGCCATCATTAAGATTTAAAGGACCGTGGGCGGAGTTAATATGCCGGGCTTCCAAATAAAGGCGCTGGTGATAACGCCGATTAGTGGTGATAATTTTAGACTTATCCCACCCAATTGTATGGTTGGTTAGGCATGTGTGCTCCGATAAAGCTGAATTTTCTATTTTGTAAAAGAAGACCGATTTTTGATGCTCTTTCAAACATGTACCAAACTGACGTTTGGTCTGTCCGATGTACTCGTTATCACAGTCATTACAAAGGAATAGAATAAGTTGCAATTTGTTTCACAACATTTACGTTTAGCTAAAAACCATAAAATGAGTGTCTGATCTCAACGGATAGAGTATCGCTCCCAAATGTTTTATTTTTAAGA